CGTGTCGTCATATTATCCAGGTCAATGAGAAATTACCTAATACTATTTCTTAATTTAATGGTATTTCTGGGGCATAACAATTGAATAAAGAATATTTTCTCCACTTGAAATCTGAATTCTTAACCATCCACAAGATGTAAACATTTAGAGTTTACACGCCAGACACCTAGAATGAGACAGGCAACTTTTGGCGGCCTCGACGCTTGAGTGAGAGAGATATATTGGAAGAGTGGGTATCATGTGGCGACTGGCCCAACGTTGTTTTGCGGCCTTGCTTCGTCAGTACATCTAACGAAATCGAAGCAACAAGTAAGTGTCGTGGAAGGTGAAAAATTTTGAGTGAATTTCATATTTTCATCAGTGTATTATAATAATTAACGATTGTGTTTTATGTTTTAGTGAAACTGGAAGTGTACGTTTTTCCGGATGCTGAGTTGAGGCAGGAGTGGGAGGAGGATGATGGGAGGATGGAGGAGTGGTTGTTGAGGCAGCTTGACCGGGTGAGGAGGACCTTACAAGGTACTGGGGCCTGGTTGAACGTCTCCAGGTGCCCATGGACTTGATAATAAAGTTCATGGCGTACCTCCGAGACCATTTCTATGCTTATAAGGTAAGTCCATAAAATTTACGATTAATTTCTGCCTGCTCTCTCTGTATCTAACATATTCTCAATTTTCTGTTAATAGGAATCACAGCTCCACTAGGAGATGAGGCAGTTCCTCAACTTTTTGAGACTGGTGGGCGGTGAGATTGAGGCCCCAGAGATGCTGCCTCACGCGCAGGGCATCGCGGCGGCCGCTGTGATGATCCTTGATGCGCAGCAGCACTATGGCAAGTGAAGTAGGTAAAATTCATTTCTCTCTCATTTTCTTTTTTATTTTAAAACTAATGGAATTTATTTCGTATGTTCCATTTGCAAGCAGATCTCCAGGGAACTTGTTTAATTAAACTATTAAGTTTTTTTATTATATATTATTTTGCAATTAGTGTGATAAATCTTAATGTAAAAATAAAACAAAAAAAGCTCAATTGTCAGTTTTACCCATTTATTTCATAGCAATCCATTTCCAGGTTATTTTATAGTAAAATGTATAGTTTATGGGTTTTCCACGTTGTTGAAGAGGCATGGATTGAACTCTCCCTCCAGGAAGGTGATTTGCAGACGTTTGGCAAGAGCAGTCTCGCGGTATTGTAATCAATCTCCAACATAAAGATCGCGCTTCCTTTCTCAATGATGCGAAACAACTGTCAACAGTACATTTGAGAACTGTTCGCGAAAAAAATGGCAATATAAATGCAAATTCTATTTTAGCGTGCAAATTTACATTGAAGAAGGACGAAGTGATTACTAGTGAAGTTAAATATTTCAATACAAAAAATGAAATCATTCTACCAGCTACAGATCTGGCAACATGGTTTGATGACAATGTGAGTGAGCCATTGCTCACAAAAATCGGTGATTTCCAAGAACGTGATTCAGGATGGGAATTGAGTGGAATTATAAATTTCATGTTCAATATGAATCGATATGTTCCACTGAAGGGTGGCTCTTCAACGTACGTCGAGTTGCCCTATGATATTCAATGTAAAAAAGCTGTTGTCAATGTCGAAAATTCGGATGAATTTTGTTTTTTGTCGTCAGTTATTGCTGCTCTCTATCCAGTAAAAAGTAATCGATCTGCTACTTCATCATATCCCGATTATACCACAGCAACTCTTCCACATAGTCAAAAGCTAATTGATTATGCAAACATTCACTTCCCCATGACCTTAAGTGATATTCCAAAATTTGAGAAAATGAATGACCGGTCAATTAATGTTTATGGAATTGAATGTGGAGAAGAATTGAACGAAATTGTCCCTTTCTACCTCACCAAGATGAACTCGCGCATACCTACAATTCATTTACTCCTCTTTTGTTCGAATGTGTATTTTGCAGCTGATAGTCAACCGATTTACCATTTTGCATGGATAAGAGATCTTTCAAGACTGGTTAGTGCCCAAATTTCCAATATTGCACATCGTATGTGGTTGTGTGACCGATGTTTGTGTCATTTCCGCGAAAAGCAACATTATGAACGTCATAGACAGGATTGTGTAACTATCAATAAATGTAAAATGATTCTTCCATCAGAAGAGAAAAAAATCTCGAAATTTGAAAATCAGAGATACAAGGTGCCTGTACCATTCACGATTTAGGCTGATCTCGAGTGTATCCTACAACCGTGTGAGGATAATGATGATGATAGATTACAGCAAAAACATATTCCATACAGTGTTGCCTTTTATTTGCAGTGTTTCTTTGATAATAATTTGTCGCCCTTTGAAATTAAACGTGGAAGTCATTGTATTGCGTGGTTCATGGATAAATTAAAGAAAATCGCAGTGATGGTAAATGATAAATTAAGGACGATTGTACCAATAGAGCCGCTCACGTACACAGTCCCAAGAATTCTCAGCAGCCCAAGTGTGTCATATAATTTATGTTGTGAGGTGCCATTCATTTTGACAGAGATTAAACATCGAGATCATTGCCACTTCACAGGTAAATATCGTGGAGCTACGCATGCTGGATGCAATGTAAAGTATAAAAATTCACATGAAATACTAGTGATTTTTCACAATCTTTCGGGGTAAGATGCTCATTTTATAATTGTGGATTTCGTGAATGAGTTCAATGGATCTGTCGAATTGCTGCCTCTAACAAAAGAAAAGTACATTTCTTTCAAGAAATCTATTACACATACACATGTCAACCTAAGATTTATTGATTCATTTAGATTTATAGCTAGTAGCCTCGAAAAATTGGCCTCCTACTTGACTGATGAAGATAAAATAATTACACGAGCACATTGCAACGCTGAGCAATTCCATTTATTAATGCGGAAAGGTGTATTTCCATATGAATATTTGGATAATTGGGATAAATTGAATGATGGGGAATTACCATCGAGGGCGGCTTTTTATTCGACACTAAACAATCAAGAAATTTCAGCGGAAGATTATGCTCATGCGCAGGAAGTTTGGAAAAAATTTAATATTGTATCACTTGGTGAATAGTCCGACCTCTACTTAAAAACTGATGTTCTCCTTTTAGCTGACATGTTTGAGAATTTCCGAAAAAGTTGTTTCTCAGTCTACAAACTCGACCCACTGCACTACTACACAGCACCTGGACTGTCATTCGACGCAATGCTAAAATGCACCAGAGTAGAAATCGAACTGTTTACAGACGCTGATAAGCTCTTATTCATTGAGAAAGGGATCCGAGCTGGTGTAGCTCAACGTACAAATCGCTATGCTCATGCCAACAATCGGTATACGGGTGAGAATTATAATCCAAACGAAGAGAAGTCCTATGTACTTTGATGTCAACAATTTATATGGGGCAGCCATTAGTCAGTACTTGCCCTTTGGTGCATTTGAGTGGGAAAATGTTGAAGGATTCAATACCTTCAATGTTCCCGATGATTCACCTGTTGGATATATCTTAGAAGTGGATTTGGCATATCCTAAGGAGCTACATTATGTACACAAGGACTTGCCGCTATGTCCCGAGCATTTTATTCCACCGAATCGCAAGAATACCAAGCTCATGACAACACTCTATGATAAAAAGACTATATAATTCATTATCGGAATTTGAAGCAATGTCTGAGTCTTCGTATGCGATTAATGAAAATCCACCGAATCTTAAAGTTCGAGCATGCAGCATGGCTCAAGCTTTACATCGACTTAAATACAGAGATACGAACAAAATCGACAAATGATTTTGAAAGGAATTTTTTCAAGCTAATGAATAACGCAGTTTTTGGAAAAACAATGGAAAATGTGAGAAAGCACAGAGATGTCAAGTTGATCACCAAGTGGCATGGAAAATATGGCGCGAGAGCCTACATTGCCCAACCAAATTTCCACAGTAGTCTAATTTTCGACGATAATATGACGAGCATTGAGTTGAAAAGAGTTCAAACTATATTCAATAAACCAACCCGCATGAAAAATTATATATGTGGGATTTATATATTAAAATTTCAGTCAGATATATGCCAAATATATTTGACATATGTACTCTTAAATCTGAAATATATTTACCATATTTTTTATTTATTTTTCAATAACGCATTTTTGGCCGATTTTTTATATCAACAAATATATAGAAGATATATGTGACCATTACATTCGACCAAAATTTGAAATATATGTCACTTGAATTTCAGATTTAATTAGATATATATTTCACATATAAGATATATATATGATCAAATACATTTTTTTGCAAACAAACATAAATGGTTTATTTGTGGGATATATTGCAAATATATTTAACATGTATTTGAACTATATCGTACATTACTAATCGAATCTATGTACCGAGCATTCTATAAATTAATTCTAGAATTTATTCTCAATTCATTTATACCTAGGTGATACGTATATATGAAATGAATACGGTTCAAAATAATAATTGACATTTATAAAATTATTGAACAAAAAATACAATACTTTTCAGTCTATTACATACTCAACATAGTGTTACATGCCCAAATTTGACAGCTTCAGCTTTATCGTACTAGGATAATGTCATTGCCTCCAAGGGTTTGGGACAAAATCACAAAAGTTATAATTATTTGGTTTTCTCATGAGGAAATTTCCTTAGCATATTGGTAGTTGAAACGTGTAATTAAACCACTTTCAAGTAATCTGACTACCCAAACTAAACCATAATATTCAAGATATTTCTTACAACATATTCGACAAAAGATAATCTATTGGTGTTCATAAGCTAATAACATCTTGAAAAAATCCAACATTCATATAACAAAGCCAATTATTTCTCATAGAAACTAGAAAAGATATCATATTTTAATACTGAAATCTTTGACGAACGTACGCATAGTAACATGAGACTGACATGCAGTTGTCTTGACTGTAGTGAAGATATTTCCCTTATCATATTCACTAAGAAGAATAAACTATTTAAACATCCTCACGCAACTAAATGGAGTGACAAACAACTGTTAACTCAAAACATGGTTCTCAAAGACGGAGACGATAAAAAAATAACGTTATATTTTTCGTGCGATCGATTGAAAATCGTCATGGGAGTACTTTTCCTTCTTAACTTTTTTGTCAATTATTTCACAAACTTTTTCATAAAAAAAAACATAGATCAATAAACTTCAATTGAACCAAACATTTTGCATAAAAACCATTAAAAAAAAAGTGAAGAAAGATGTCTCCAGACTCATGGACGAGAATCTCCTTATGGAAGACCTCTACTTTGTCACTAAGCGTTAGCATTAAATGATTGCCGCTGGAGGGACTAGTGCAGCGGCCGCGGCAGCAGTTGCTTGTTCATCAGCCACTCGTTGTTCTCTTCTCATCGACGATAATTTGGCATTGATGGCAGTATGCATTTCACTTCTCTTGAAATTGCGAGGAAATTCTTTCCTTACAGAAACTAAAAATATATGAGAATTTCACTAATTATGTATCGTATCAAATTTATGGGAAAAAGGGAAAATATTTTACTGCATGTTACCTTTCTTGAAAACCTAGTTAGGCAAAACGAGTGGGATCAGATTTTAATGATTAATTAGTAAAAATTAGTAAAAATTCTGAATTCATCGAGTGATGGTTACAAGAAAATTCAAGAATGTCCACGTATGGAATAATTTAATAGAAAACCTTAGCGAATTTGCTAGGCAATATTATAAGAATTCTCTAAGATTCCTGTAGGTTTTCTATTAGATTTCTATTGAAATTCAATTTATTTGTTGTCCGTTTTCTATTAGATATTCTGTAGGAAAAATCAATTTATTTTCAAATTCTTCTGACTTTTCTTATTGAAATTTTCGAGCAAAATTTTTCCGATTTTTTTTTACTTGGATTATGAAATGTAAATGAAAACCGAATCAATAAAAAAAATACTAATTTATATTTAATTATTTTTATAGAGAAAATTTGAAAATTCAGTTGAATTGCTAAATCAATGGATTTTTTCCACGGAGAATGTAGAATATCTGATAGAGAACGCGCAAAAAACAAATGAAAATCCAAGAGGAATTATTACATGTCTTTTCACCATTGCTTCTTCGTCATCCTGAACTGCCTGTCGTTGATGTCTAAGATTCTGTTTGAGTAAATTCCGGAGCGCCAACCAATCTTGTGGATTCAATACATCACGAGCTGCTCTTCTTTCATTCTGGTTTTGCACATTAGGTGGATGTTGCCTATGCTCGTTATTATCTGGAGTGTTTCATAAAACCAACATGGATTAATTTTCGTGTCATTTTATGTATTAAAAGTGAAAAGAGCATTAAAATTACAAATATAAATACCACTGGGAACTGGGGATGCTTCTCTTTGTCTGTTGTTGGCAATCGGACCGAGAGGATTGGGTAAATTTCCCTGTCCAGTCTGATTATGGGTATTTGTATGGACTACATTTCATAAAAATAATTAATTGGATACACAGAGATAATACGTTCCATTAACATACAAATAAAAATAAAAAATAAAATAAACGTTTCATTAACATTCTAAAATTGAATATTGACGTCCTTATTACCATTCCTTCTCCTAATCTCGCCGTCTCCAGGATTGCGTACGCCATCGTCATTAGAATCATCTCTATCATCAACTAAATCAACAGATCAACTGTCATGAGATTACATACAATACTTGTTGAAATGGAATTCATAAGAGAAAGTACCATTTGCGGTCTTTTCACCTCCGTTTTTGGCAGTCTTTGAATATTTCAGGTTTGAAACAGGAGTGTGCTCGATCACTCCGTTTTCATCCTCAGTGTCTTCGTCATTCGAGGTTTTGGTTGGAGCAATGCCCTTGAACTTCTGTTACGGAAAAAGGAAACCAAAAATCATTATGCACGATTCTGGAGTCATGGGAAAATTTGACAATAGAGCCATCACTATAATAATTTGTGTTTTCAATGCTCTTGAATAGTCAATAATTTAGTATTCAGTATTCTTCGCTCCTCCAAATATTCAATTATTATGAGATATATAGTCAAAACATATGAGAGCAATTATTGATTAAGATGTGTGTGGAAATTTATACTGCAACTGCTAAAGAGATTTTCTGAGGTTTCTTCACTCGAATTTTGAAATGCAAAACTTGAAAAAATGCATTTTTTTGAAATTAACGTCTACAAACTTTTAGAAAAGCCCTGTAACTTTAATTTTTAAAAAGCTGCAGGGGAATTTGAACTGAAATTTGAAATATATTGAGTTCTTTTATTCAAATATCTAATTGTAAGAAAGTTAGAAACCAATATTGTTAGAAATTATGTATGAATTTCCCTGTATTTTGGCCAGGGTCGGGTGGTTTTATCAATTACGAAATTTGCGTTGATTGGTTTTATCGAGTTTAATAAAACGGATCGGTATATACAATATTTACAGTAGTTAAGTTTCCTTCACTGAGTTGAATTTCAATTACTTTGTGGACTGTATGATGATTTTTAAGGGTGATAACGTTCTCTAACAACTGTTGCGTGCCGTGATAAGTTTTCGCGTGAGTTAGATGAGAGTAAAAAGATGTATAGTCAGTTACGCGTTCGATGAATAACTCTGGCTTTGAGAATTTTATTGTTCGCCAGCCGGCTCCTCGTCCGTGTTCGGGATTTTTCCGATCTTGAGTGACCAACCCTATGTGTTAGTGTTGTGTGTTTACTCAATTCTTAGAAATGTGGATCAGATTTCTAACAAATATAATTTGTCAATGGAATTGGAACACAGATCCTGTTGGAAATTTATCGAATTCCTAAAGAATTTTCCGAATTCATTTGTTTTATTGTGAAGCACAAAAATACGGATCTTAACGAAAAGTATTGTCGAAGAATTTTGTCGAAAAGAGATACACAAATGAGGTTTCCATAAACATTTCCCTATGTTTTTTCCCTAAATTTTGGAACTTCTAAGATAAAAGAAAAAATTTGAATCTTAACTTTTCTCAAGTATAAATATTTAATTTCGGAATACTTATTAGAAACTAATCAACAAACGAAATCTACTCGAATCCTTTAACAATTCAATTCGTCGTATTCAAATCATTACAACTCCAGGATGAATTCACAAAAATGTTTTTCGACAGTCCTACAATGTCCTAAATAGTGATGTTTTTTGATTCAACGAACAACGTTTAAAGTTTTCGAAAATTGTAAGCTGTATATTTATAAAGTTTCCGAAAATTCCTCGAACCCTGACGGACCACTCGATGCCCACTCGATACCCATATCGAGTTGTGCACTCGGTCGAGTGCCGGTTGATCGCAGATCAATTGATCGACCATCGATCGACCAATCATCGATCGGCAATGAACTGACGCTCAATCGGCTTGATAGTGAATCCTTCAACATGTACAAACACTCCATCTGTAATTTCCAATAAGTAATTTCCCTTCCAATTGCTCTTAATTATCTCAACATTTGAAATACATAGGAAGTCGTGAAATCTTTCAGAATTCCGAAAACGCTTTGAATACCCGCAAAGTCCCCAAAACTTTTTTGCTTCCCTGGAAATTCAATAATAATTTCGAAATGATGATAAAAGTAACCTCAACCAATTGTTGATGGTTAAATCTTCACCACTAATTTCAAAATCAATTAGTGTATCCATCAAGTTGCTTTGTATCTCTAGAAATCAATAAATTGAATCAATAATTGCATGAAGAAAGCTCTCATATTTAGGCCTTTTAATATTTCTTTTAATATCAATGCCCACACAATACCTTAATCAATATTTTGTTTTCTCAAATTCCTCACCAGAAGGCGATTTATTTGAGTCATTGATATTTCTCAAACAGTTGTTTTCAATAAAATTTTCGAAAGATATTCCCCTTGGGTCCTAAAGTAAATCCCTGTATTGGTCAAAATGTCAAGTTTTCTTAGATTTTACTTCAAATCAGGAAATAATCTAAAATTCTAGGAAAAGGATTACATTTTATTTTGTTTTAAATAATGTAGGCGAATATATGATTTTTTTACGGGACAAGAATCTAAGAAACAAATCAGTTTTTTACGAATTCTGAAGGTTTGAGCGGTTATTGAAGAAAATTATTTGCCTCTTCAGGTAATTTATTTACTACGTAGAAATCAAACGAAATTTTGAAAACATCTCCTAATTTCACTTTTGAACAGAAGTTTCAATACCAGCATCCCTTATTTTGCCGTTTCCTATTTTTATCTTCATGCTCCAAGAAATAACTTCATATCATTAATACTAATAGTGTTCCTCCTTTCTACAGCCTCCTGCATGCGCTCCTGTTATTCTTAATGAAGACAACAATCAAGGGTCTTCTAATGGGACACACCTGGAAGCATCTGAGAATGACGATTCGATAGGAGGTTCTTCCCATAAAGATCTTGCAGAAGAACGAGAGACTCTTGATTATTCATCTGACAGCAGTGAAGGCAGTGAGGAAGAAGAGATTTCTAACACAAGCATGACTGCGCCTAGAGCTGACACAACTCACAATACCTCACCCCCAGTGTTATCTGAGTTTACTGGTGAAGACTTAGTCGCTCCTCTTCTAACCCTTGCCACCAAATTACGGAATGGTCTTACGTATACAGCAACGGAAGATTGTTTATCATTAGCAAAAGTACTGGCTGATTTTAGAATCAGGTACACTTCAAAATATGCATGGAAGAAAATAGCGAACAGTCGTTGTGATTTTATGACTATTCATCACTTTTGTGATAAATGACAGAACGTGAGCGTCATATTTTGTCTTGTCCAAAATGTAATTGATATGACGAGTAACTGGCGAAGTGGTAATGTTGTCCTCTATCTAAACCTCACGGATCAAATCGAGTATTTCCTTGGAATGAATCATGATCACCTGATAGATCCACAGAATAGGCTGAAAAAAAATAATTATGCCCTAGAAGATATTTTTGACGGGTCCATATATAGAAAAACTGTATCTAAAAATACTATTACTTTAAATTTCAACGTAGATGGCACGCCGGTGCATAAAAGCTCTGCCATGTCATTATACCCAGTTCTCTGTACAATGAATGAAATTCCCGTTAAAGAGAGAGCAAAAAATATGATTCATTGCAGTTTACGGTTTGGGCGATCAGTGTTATATGATGTTCCAGAATTTAACGTTATCGATGCCAGCTGATTGGATGCACCTCGCTACACTAGGTGTGGCCAAACAATTTTGCAAACTTGGTTGGATTCTAAACATTCCAAACCTTTTTTTTTTGGCCAACATGAAAATCTTATAAATGATATGCTCGAATCTTTCACACCTACTGTAGAGATTTCTCGAACAACGAGAAATATAAAAGACCGAAAATTCTGGAAAGCTCACGAATGGAGTATTTGGCTCCTTTTCTACAGCTTACCGATCCTCCGGGAAATCGCACTACGAAAATATGTCGTACATTGGGCATTGCTTGTTGACGGAATTTCTATTCTATTGAAGATCTCCATCATGCGCTCTGAAGTGGAATATGCACGGCAGTGTCTTTACGATTTTATAAGAGGAGTTGAAGACTTGTATGGGATTGAATATGTTTCATTCGATGTGCATCTTCTTACTCATCTACCAGATAGTGGACTGAAATGGGGCCCGCTTTGGACGCATAGTGCATTCATGTACGAGTCTTTTAATTTCACTTTGAAAAATTGCGTTCACAGTGCCAATGGTGTACCTCTCCAAATCTGTGATTCGTTCAGATATCAAATTTCTGTACTCAAGTTGGAGAACATTTGTGAGGAAATTTTGACTCAGCCTCAAAGAAAATTTTTATCAAAAATGTTATGCAGTACTCAACCAAAAGTTACTCTTCAAGTTAATGATGTTGGTCTATTGGGCACCTTGAAACAGACGGTGAAATTTAGTCGTCCCTATTATTAGGCTTTCAGACGAGTTAAAATTCATCCAGAAATGGCTGCAACTATTCAAACGACAAGAAGAATTTTGCTGAATGGGGAAGTCATTCACTCGAAGCTTTACAAGAGATCGAAGAAGCGCCAAAGTTATACTGTGCTCACAAGAGAGCAAGAGATTTTCGAGATAGAGATATTTGTCATTCTTTCCTATGTCAATTCCAAACAAGTTTATGCCATTGGAAAATACTATGAAAAAATCAATTCACCTTTCTCTGATCGGGGACTAACACATTTGACATTCGTACAGAATCAAGATTGTAATTTAGCTTCGATTAATATTCAGGGAATAAAGGAAAAAGTTACATTGCTGCACCTAGAAAACCAGAATATTTCAATTGCCTGTGCTCACCCAAACAAGTACGAATCGTGGAAATGAACACTGTATTGAATAAAGAATGTTTTTGATTATCAAATATTAATCTACATTTCTTCTCTTTCACCTATTTCAATTCTGGATAATGTAACTTTTCGGTTATTATAAGGTCATCAATCTCAAAATCTTTCTGAATGAAAGTACAACTGTTTAAATTGATGTAGGATTGTCTACAGTCACAAAAAAAAAATATTGGCCTTATTGAACGTTATTTTTATATTTTGAAATTATTTCTGTCCTTAATTATTATATCTCTTTCGTGACGCCGGTCGGCCTTGAGATTATCATTATCATTCTATTGGCATTGCATTTGATCCTCATGTTCAAAATGTATTCCTAATCTTTAGATATGGCTTTCGTGATCCTTTCGGACCCTCATTTTTTACTTTGATATCCAATTCTCGTCAGATTTATGGAGCTTTACTCTATATTGCAATTACAAATGGAAATAGTATTTACTATGTATGTCTAATGGATAAGGAATAATATATTTTTCTAATATCACATGATATATCGCCGGTTATGATATAAATAATCTGCATATATCAGCGAT